CTAAACCCTAAACCCTAAACCCTTGAGAAGGCATGTCGATGTCGGTCCACGTTCACCTCCTGAGTGGGGCGAGCGTGACTTTGGCAACGGAGCCAGAAGAGTCCGTCACCTGCTTATGCCTGCGGGCTCAGGGTGCTCTAAGAGTTGGCAAGGGAAGGCTGCTGACAACCTCTGGAGATATGCTGGCCGGAGGTACACTAAAGCGAGCGCGTTTACGAGACAACGACTTGCTGACCCTTCATGTCGGACAGGTCCGAGTCAGCGCTTCGCGCGGAGTCGCCTTTGCTGCTCTCCTGGGTGACGGATCTGTGGTGACTTGGGGCGATGCTGACTATGGTGGCGACAGCAGAGCCGTGCAAGAGCAGCTCAAGAACGTGCAGCAGGTGCAAGCTTCTCCAATCGCGTTTGCTGCGATCCGGGCTGATGGAACTGTGGTGACCTGGGGCCCTGCTGAATTCGGAGGCGACAGCAGTCCCATACACGATCAGCTCAAGAACGTGCAACAGGTGCAAGCTTCTGGACGGGCGTTTGCGGCGATTTTGGCGGATGGAACTGTGGTGACCTGGGGCCAACAGTCTTTCGGAGGCGACTGCAGTGCTGTACAAGATCAGCTTAAGAACGTGCAGCAGGTGCAGGCTTCTGAAAGGGCGTTTGCTGCGATTTTGGCGGATGGATCTGTTGTGACTTGGGGCCATGCGGTTTTTGGAGGCAACAGCAGTGCTGTACAAGATCAGCTCAAGAACGTGCAGCAAGTGCAAGCTTCTTTCAGGGCGTTTGCTGCGATCCGTGCTGATGGAACTCTAGTGACCTGGGGCCATGCTGACTATGGCGGCGGCAGCAGAGCCGTAAACGATCAGCTCAAGAACGTGCTGCAGGTGCAAGCTTCTTACGGGGCGTTTGCTGCGATCCGGGCGGATGGATCCGTGGTGACCTGGGGCCATGCTGACCATGGTGGCGACAGCAGAGTCGTACGAGATCAGCTCAAGAACGTGCAGCAGGTACAAGCGTCTGCAAAGGCGTTTGCTGCGATCCGGGCTGATGGATCTGTGGTGACCTGGGGCCATGCTGACTATGGCGGCGGCAGCAGAGCCGTAAACGATCAGCTCAAGAACGTGCTGCAGGTGCAAGCTTCTTACGGGGCGTTTGCTGCGATCCGGGCTGATGGATCTGTGGTGACCTGGGGCCATGCTGACTATGGTGGCGACAGCAGAGCCGTACGAGATCAGCTCAAGAACGTGCAGCAGGTGCAGGCTTCTGAAAGGGCGTTTGCTGCGGTTTTGGCGGATGGATCTGTTGTGACCTGGGGCCGTGCTGACCATGGCGGCGACAGCAGAGCCGTACGAGATCAGCTCAAGAACGTGCAGCAAGTGCAAGCTTCTCTCAGGGCGTTTGCTGCGATCCGGGCTGATGGATCTGTGGTGACCTGGGGCCATGCTGACCATGGTGGCGACAGCAGCGCCGTACATGATCAGCTCAAGAACGTGCACCAGGTGCAAGCTTCTTACGGGGGGTTTGCTGCCATCCGGGCTGATGGATCTGTGGTGACTTAGGGCGATGCTGGTTTGGCGGGGACAGCCCCTCCAACTAGTAGCTCAGGCTTACTATAAGATTGCGACGGATCCGAAGTCGGCCTAAACCCTAAACCCCAAACCCTAAACCCTAAGCCCTAAACCCTCCCACTGCAGCCTGCACCTTGAGAGCAACAAGTCCGGCTTGGAGAGTTTTAGGGCTTCAGAGTGGGGAGCCAAACCAGGGTTTATGGGTCTAGGGCACACCTTGACTCGTTTGCCCAACACTACGGAAGCCCTACAGGGGTTGAGGGTTTAGGCCTGTTTATCGTGAGGAGCCAGGCAGAGAAGGTGGGGTGTGCGGGGCCCTAACAATCCCGAAGAAGCCCTAAACCCTAAACCCTAAACCCTAAACCCTAAACCCTAAACCCTAAACCCTAAACCCTAAACCCTAAACCCTAAACCCTAAACCCTAAACCCTAATACCCTAAACCCTAAACCCTAAACCCTAATACCCTAAACCCTAATACCCTAAACCCTAATACCCTAAACCCTAAACCCTAAACCCTAAACCCTAAACCCTAAACCCTAAACCCTAAACCCTAAACCCTAAACCCTAAACCCTAAACCCTAAACCCTAAACCCTAAACCCTAAACCCTACACCCTAAACCCTAAACCCTAAACCTAAACGCCCTAATAATCGGGGCCTCTTCCCTTCCACCCCGCTTGGTCTCCTTAGAAGCTTAGGGTGCAGACGGATCATTTCGGAGATTCGAGTGTCGGATCCTTACCGAGGTCTTTAGCCCTAAGCCCTAAACCCGAAACCCGAAACCCGAAACCCTAAACCCTAAACCCTAAACCCTAAACCCTAGCCCTACACCCCAAACCCTAAACCCTATAATTTTGTAGCGCGGGATGGCCCTTAGTTGAGGGGGTTAAAAAGGTTCTCGGTGGAAGTGCTGGGGGCGCAGGTCATGGTTCGCCCTAAACCCTAAACCCCAAACGGAGTATTCTTCTGAACCCTAATGCCTAAACCCTAAACATAGTATCCCTAAACCCTAAAACCCTCAAACCCTAAACCCTAGACCCTAAACCCCCAAACATAGTCTTGGGGTTCCTTTGCTGCTGGCCAGGTGGAGCGAGCGGGCAAGTTCTACCTCCACAACCATGTGAGGAGCTGGGACTCGATCTCCAGGGCTTAAGGTAGGGTTGTTTAGGGTTTAGGGTTTAGGGTTTAGGGGGGTTATAGTTGGGGTGTAGTTCAGGGGAGCTGCATGGTCCCTCAATTTGGGCCCTTTATTGGGGAACCCTTATAAACCCCTTACATACACGGGACTATGTAATTACCTCCGAAGTTCCGCTGGGTTAATACAGCTGCCCAAATCTTACCAACAGAATCACCTTGTGACCCAGCTAATTATATTTAGGGCTTCCCTACTACCCCCCTCTATACTCCCCTCCCTAGGTTCCCCCCTTAAATAACCTTAATTAGGCTTAATTAGCCCTAAATAGCCTTAACTATGGGGCAACCTAGGGGGGAGTAGTATAGAAGGGGGTAGTAGGGGAACCCCTGATCTTGATAATAGCAGCTGTAGCTTATCCCTTGGTTATTCTAGCCTTTCCATGAACATAGAAAGGGATGCCTAAATTTGAGGCCTATTCTTCGGGTCAAGGGTTTTGGAAAGTCTTGGGACCCTGCCCCAAACCCTAAACCCTAAACCCTAAACCCTAAACCCTAAACCCTAAGGTGTGGAGGGGTTGGGACTCATGGTCCAGAGCTGCCTTAGTGCCTCTGGCGTTGCCTGAAACCCTAAACCCTCAACCAGGCCAAGCCCGAAACCCTAAACCCTGAACCTTTAAACCCTAAACCCTGAACCCTAAACCCTAAACCCGAACTAACCTGAAACCCTAAACCCGAAATAACCTTAAACCCTCAACCCGAAATAACCTTAAACCCTAACCCTAAACCCTAAACAATAAACCCACCGTGGTGGCCGGAAGGATCCACCTCAAGTACCATGAGAACCCCGAGAAGTGAGCCGGGGGGGGGGGGGGGGGGGGGGGGGGCTTTTGCTTGCGAAGGGCGTAGAGGGTCTAGGTTTGGAGTTTAGGGTTTGGGGTTGAGGGTTTGGGGTTTAAGGTTTAGGGCTTAGGGCTTAGGGTTTAGGGGGCTTAGGGCTGGCTCAGGGTTTTGGAGGGTGTAGGGTTTAGGGAATCTGGAAATTAGCCTTAAGGGAGTGCGGGGCTGGTGGTTTGGCGGTTCAAGGTCCCAGGGCTGTTGGAGGGCTTCGGGCGTAGGGCTTAGCACTGAGGAATTCATGCGCAAGAAGGTGCGTCAACCCTAAACCCTGAACCCTAAACTTCTAGCACAAAGTGCCTCTGACCCTACCACGCCCCCCCCCCCCCCCCCAAGACCTACGTAGTGAGAGACGTGCTTCGAAGGACCAAGGCCTTTAGAACTGAGGCTGTGTCCACACAGGGCTCAGGTTTTTGGAAGCCCTAAACCCTAAACCCTAAACCCTGAACCCTAAATTCTGATTAATCTCTTGAAGCCTGAATCCCAAAGCCCGCCATACACCCTGAACCCCAGAATATCGATGCTTGGTCCTAAACCCTAAACCCTAAACCCTAAACCCTAAACCCTAAACCCTAAACCCTAAACCCTAAACCGTGTTTAGGGCTTTTGAGCCCGGAACCCATGGAAGGTTTAAGGCTTCGCCCTTCAGGTACGAGGGCTACCGCATCGTAGGCTTCGAGGTTGAGCCATTCAGCATGAATCAGGCAGGTGGGACCGGCAGGGGGGACCCTAAACCCCGTAAATAAGCCTTCAAGCCCCCTGTATACCCTCCAGAACCCTACACCGAACACCCTAAACCCTAAACCCTAAACCCTAAACCCTAAACCCTAAACCCTAAACCCTGAACCCTGAACCGTGAACCCTGAACCCTGAACCCTGAACCCTAAACCCCAACCCTGAGGGGCTCATACCAAAAGTCCCAAACTCGCAATGCTGACGATCCCAAACCCCTCAAGCTCCCTGAAACCCAAGCACCCCACCCTCAAATTCTAGGATCCCCAAACTTTGAGCCCTAAAACCCTGTAAAACTTACAGCCCCCCCCCCCCCCCCCCCCCCCCAAACCCTACAAACACCCAACACCCAGGAATACTTGGAACCATGAACCCAAAACCCCTAAACCCTGAACCCTGATGTTAATCCGCTAGATGTGCCGAGGCAACCTGTCACTTGTGCTCGCCGACCCTTTTTGTGCAGCTCGGGGGAGGGCGGGACGAGGAAGAGAGCTTGGGAGCCAAAGGCAGGAGAGCAGGGCTCTTTGGGTCATAGTAGGAACAGGGTTCCTTCATTCTTAGGGTCTCTTAAGGTTACTAGGGACGGCCAGGGCTACCATATTCACATTGGTAGCGGAGCCCTGGCCCGAACTGTGGAAACGGGTTGCTTAGGCATAGGTAGCCCTGATCCGTGACGTGTGCCATGTCGGGCACCGGCCCAGCTGATGCTTCAGCACCGACCGGGGGGATGGCAGGTGTTAGCCTGAGCCATTTACCCTGGCAACAGATTCCGCGTTTCGTGCCGGGGAGCACCAATGTGGATGATTATGGAAGGCGACTGCAGTTCTTGAAGGCGCTATGGCCTCCCGAACATGTGGCTCAGTTGGGGCCACGTGCTGCATTGCAGGTGGAAGGGTCAGCCTTTCAAAAGATAAGTCGCATTGATCCGGAGCAGCTGCGCAGTGAGAAAGGAGTTCAGCTCATTGTGGAGGCACTTGGTGGTGCGTGGGGTCGAACCACCGTTGAAGACAAGTACCACACCTTTGAGCAGGCAATGTTTCAGGTGCAGCAGAAACCGGACGAGTCCAATGATTCGTACATTGCTCGTCACGACGCGTTCTTCGAGGAGCTTCTAAGCAAACACATCAAGCTGGAGGAGATCCGAGCCTACATCTTGCTTCGCCACAGCCAGCTTTCAGCAGAAGACAAGAAGCGTGTGGTGGTTGAGTCCAAAGGACAGCTGGACTATGACACCACTGTCAAAGCTGTCCGTCTCCTTGGGTCACGGTTCTTTCATGATCTTCAGGTCCGCGGATCTTCGTCGCATAGTCGTGGCTCAGAACGCACCAAAGTCTATGACATCAACTTCGCCGAGGAGGACCAGGGAGCGGACGAAGAAGTTCACTACGCAACGGAAGACGTTGATGAAGAGGCTTTGGTGGCCTACTATGTGGAGCAGAACGACGAGGATGCGATCTATGTGGCGGAGTTTGAGGACCAGATCATAGAAACCATCCAGGACAGCGACCTTGCCCCGATCTTCAGTGCATACCAAGACGCACGACAGCGTCTTCGTGAGAAGGCCAAAGCCCGTGGATACTGGCCGGCCAAGGGGCGCGGCAAGGGCAAGAGCAAGAAAGGAAAGAGCAACCACAAGGGAGCCCCTCGTGGCCGAACCTTAGCCGAAAGGATCGCGACATCGGCTTGCCGACTATGCGGCCAGGTGGGACACTGGAAGCGCGAGTGTCCTCAGAGACAGGACAAGACCGAGACGACGAACCTGGCCCATCTCAGCCAAGATATTCCCGAACTTCCCGAGATCTTCCAGCACTTGCCCGAAGACACCGTCCTCTACACCGATGAGGACCCGATGACCTGCTACTGTCCAGCGGGGTTTATGGTTCCGGGTTGGGTTAAGTGTGGAAGCCGAATTCAGTGTTTCGAGCAAGCGTGTTTTCATGTCACAGCGCCAAAGGCGCGAACATTGAGCAGCTTTAAGGAGACACTTGCAAGACGATTGTTAATGTTTGACAGGAGCCATAGGCACCAGATGCAGAATGGGAAGCAACCGCCGCCTGCGAATGGCGGAATTTTGAGCCGAGCAGAGAAGTCTGAGAGCAGGGATAGGCCCAAGATAGATCTGTGTCCTGAAGACGCTGTCTTTGTAGCTACTGTGGGTTCCGAAGGGGTCCTAGACACTGGGGCTAGTCGTACGGTTATAGGCGGGGACAGGGTAAAAGAAGTGCTTCGGGCCTTACCTGCTGAGTGCCGCAAGAACGTCAGGAAGGCAAGCTCAAGCGTGACCTTCCGTTTTGGCAACAGTGGCACGCTCTCTTCAAAACATGCTCTGCTTGTGCCATCGCCTGCAGGGAGGTGGATCCGAATTGAGGTGATTCCCGGAAGTACCCCTCTCTTAATCTCAAACCGATTGTTGCGTGAACTAGATGCCATCATCCATGTTAAGAGGGGGTTGCTTCAAGTGGGGGATAAGATGATTCCTACAAGGTTTGATGATAGGGGTTTGTCGTTAGTTGATCTTGCTGAGTTGCTTAGCCACCCATCTGATGCAGCATACATCACAGACAGCCCTGACCGATCCGAGCCAACAAGCAACCAACAGCATGTGGCTCCGAAGCCGCCCTCAGATCAAGACTTTCGGTCACGCTCTTCTTCTACTTCAGCGTCGTTGCCTCGTCTCTGTGTCTCTCAGGATGCCAAGCCAGCCCAAGCAGGCCATCAGTGTCCAGGAGGCGCTTGCAGCAGTCGACCTCGACCAGCAGCTGTCCGGAGAGGAGGACACCAACCTTGTGAAGGAGAAGCTGGTGCTGGAGAAGTATCGGACTGCCACGTTCGTCAAGCCACCGGGCATCGGAACGTTGCGCGAGTGGGGAGAAGTGGTGCTGCCCGAGGGGAAGCACAAGCAGTCGACGCATGCCCAAGTGTTCAACAAGGACATGGCGTATGCAGCTTTGATGGCCCGAAAGACATCGTTGACGAGTCCATGGGCTTTGAGTTTCAAAAATTACTGCATTGCGCGTTTCCAGAAAGCTGCCGAGGTCAAGCACCATGGGGAGACGACTGCGCCAAAGGGCCAGAGGCCGGTCCTTCCGAAGAATCCAGATCCAACAACAGTGCCCCTCCCCGAGAACGAGGACAGCGACGATTGGAAGCTATGTGTGACCGAGAGCGAGCCGTCGAACAAAGAGAGATCGGGGAAGCGAGCCAGTCATGCCAGCAGTTCGTCGATGACGCAGGGACGGATGCAGCTGGACATCACCGACCAGGACCAGATGCTCATCAACACCCGTCGAGCGCTCCTGCTTCGAGAGCTCAGTCACCTCGAGCAGTTGGAGCAGCCCCGGAAGGAGGAGCAGACGGACCATGCGTGAATCCGAGCGCACCACCTGACATCACCCGGGAGAATCTTCGCGTTTGCCATGCCATTAGAGAACGCATCTTAGAGATTGAACAAAAGCTTGCAGACCCAGTTAATGCTCCACTTTATGGCCCTGGTTCCCGATACAGACTTGCCACGGTCGATGTCATTGAAGTAAGCGCCAGTGTGGGCAATGTCGTGGGCGCCACGATCCGTAAGATGGGAGGCAAAGCTGTAGTTCTGAATCAATCCAAGGACATTGGCACCCTCAAAGATTCTCATGGCAAGCTTTGGCAGATGATATACATGTACGAGCCAAACCATCTCTTCGTGGATGTCCGACAGCCTTGGAGTAGGTCACACATCGGGGATTCAAAGGATTGTTGGCCATATGAACTTCTACAGAACCTGTACGAGCATCAGCTTGAACATGGACGACATTTTCATCTTTGTTGTGGCCCGCAATTCTTCGAATCTGCGATGCCTGACCAGGTGGCATCCATCCTGCAGGGAACGTTGTGTACTGTTCATCACCTACCTGAACTGGGCAAAGGACAAGCGCCGCCAGGAAACAATTTTCGCAATCGCCGAACCCTTCTTCATACCACATCCCGAAGCCTCCACGAAGCAACCGACACCCCCAAGATAGCAGCAACAATGAGCCACACCAAGTCCAGTTCTGGCAACACGCCACCACGAGTTCCCGAACTGCATCGGCACTTCAATATCTGTGTGGCTAAGACACTCCTTCAGAATAGGGTACAGGGGATGATGGACTATCCTTTAATGATGTCTGAGCTGTTGTTTGGTGAGACTGTGGAAGCACCTCAATCGGAGCTAGTGCAGCCTAGTGTCCAGGAAGCCAGTGGAGTGTTTAAGCGTCGCCGCCTTTTGGGGAAACAGCCCCCGCCAAGACTGTCTGGGCCAGAAGACGAGACGTGGGATAGAGTATTTCAGGAGGTAAACCCTTGGGTTCCTAAAGGTGGGAGTGTTTTCTTTGACGAAGGGGATAGTTTCGTCTCAAAGGTTCAGACGCTGGTTCCAGAGTTTGTGGTCAAACATGTTGTTGTGTGTCGTGGCACCAATCGTGTGAGACCTCCTAAAGAGGGATGGAGTTCGAGGGATATTCCTGTACGCCGAACTGTGGTAGTTAAGAGGGATGGTACAGGGATTTGTGAGGATGGGGGTGTTGAAGAATGGGGTGCTTTGCCGCGATACAAACAGATGCGAAAAGGTATCCCAGCCAAGGTTAGCCTGACGGCCTATGGGATCCGCAACGTTAAGAGTGCTGAGGCCAATTTTCGCGGGTCACTGGGCGCTGCTGGGTCCTCGAGTAATGTTTCCGACTCTCCAGTGGAGCCTCGTCTGCCTCTCGATATTCCTCCCGAATCGTCTGGAAGTACTGGAGTTCTAGAGGTAGGTTACCCTCCCAAAGCAATCCCCAAACATGGTCCAGCATTTCTGTCCCTAACGCCAGAGGAGAAGAACGAAGTAACGAGGCTCCGCAATAACCTTGGACATCCTTCGGTTGAGGTACTGACTAAGTTCATGACAGAACGTAAGGCCGAGCCCCGAATGATACAAGCTGTCCGAGATTATGCTTGTTCCATTTGTTTAGAAACAGTACCTCAACCGCATCTTTCGAGACCTGCTTCTGTACATCTAGATGGTGATTTTGGGGATGTCATCGGCATGGATGTAGCGTACTGGACTAATGCAGCAGGACGTAAGTTCATGTTCACCCATGTGCTAGATGAAGCGACGCTATTCCAGCAGGCTGATGCGACAGGAAGAACCCCTGAAGAGCAGTTTGAGTTTCTTGCGGATCATTGGTTTCAGTGGGCGGGCCCCTGTAAGCTTCTATACGTAGACCCTGCCGGAGAGTACACTGGGAACGTTTGGAGGGATAGGCTTCAGCAGGAGGGCATTAGGGCGCAAGTGTCAGCAGGCGAAGCCCACTGGCAGCTGGGACGTGTTGAGGCACATGGAAAGATCCTGAAGGCCATGCTGACTCGCATGGACCAACAGGAACCAATCAACTCCGATGCCGAGTTTCGTCGCAGTCTTCGACATGCAGTTCTTGCTAAAAATAGCCTTAGCAGGGTGAAGGGGTTTACTCCAGAACAGGCTGTGCTAGGGAAAATGTCAAGACTCCCAGCGTCGTTGGTCTCTGATACAGAAGCCTCTAGTCATGCCATGGCAGCCAGTGACACTCCCGAGGGCGTGCGTTTTAGACAGGATCTTCAGCGCAGAGAACAGGCTAGGGTAGCTTTTGTGCGTTCTGACAATGATAACGCATATCGTAGGGCGTTGCTTCGTCGTTCGCGTCCTCGGTGTCAGTCGTTTGAGCCTGGCGATTGGATCCTCTACTGGAGACGGCACAAAGGGGGAACCCGCGGTGACAGGGGAAGATGGTACGGTCCGGGTCAAGTCATTTGTTCGGATCCTAAGGTGGTGTGGGTCAGTCACTGCGGGCGCCTCATTCGTGCAGCTCCAGAACAACTGCGTTCCGCATCTATGAGGGAATGGAGGGAGATAGCAGAGGGTCGCCAGGTAGAGGTTCCAGGTCAGTTAGCTCAAGACACTAGAGGGGTAGTAGATCTTCTCTCCCAAGGCGAGCTACCCTCCCGAATTGATGTGAAAACAGAAGGCGAGGCGCCAGTAGCTCAGCCTGAGGTTCTTGAAGGGGACTCCGCTCCTGTAGACATGGACCTAGGGGTAGCCGAGGGTGTAGGGCCAGCAGTTGCCGTCGTAGATCCTGAGCAGCCTGAGCATGAAGTATCGCCCACTGTCTCCATGCAGTCTGTCCCTGAGCAAGAGACAGCTCCTGAGCCTGCAGCTTATGATGTACCGGTTCCTAGTGATGATGAGGAGTTGCTTTTCGGTGACACTGAATGTTTTCTAGCGTATCCGGAGTCAGGACAAGCTTGGGAGATTGTGCTGCATGAATCAGAAGTTAAGTTTGCCGATTTGCCTTCGGCGAGCCAGTCACTACATTTTGCGATGCTAGCCTCTGCTGAGCGCAAGACGAGGGTCGAAGTTCGGATGCGCGACTTAACAGCTGAAGAACAGGGTTTGTTCGACAAGGCCAAGGACAAAGAGGTCAGGGCCTGGTTGGATCATAGGACCGTTCGGCGAGTAGCGCAGGGAACCTTAGATGATCGTCAGCTGATGCGCTGCCGCTGGCTTCTCACCTGGAAACCGCCGGAAAAGGAGGGAGGCCCTAAACGGGCAAAAGCTCGTCTAGTGGTATTAGGGTTTGAGGACCCCGGTCTACAGGAAATACCCAATGACGCTCCGACCTTAGGGAAGGATGCTAGGCAGCTTCTCATCCAAAAGGTGGTTTCAAACAGGTGGAAGCTAATTAATTTCGATATCTCCACGGCGTTCTTGCAGGGGCGCGGAGATGGCCGTAAGCTTGGAATTCGGCCGCCTGAAGAGCTCCGAGCAGCCCTCGGCATGAAGCCAGAAGATCAATGTCAGCTAGATGGTGGGGCCTATGGTAGAATAGATGCGCCCTTTCTCTGGTTCCAGACCCTCAAAGAGACTCTTGAGAAACTTGGCTTCTTGCAGAGTCCTTTCGACGCCTGTTCGTTTTCGCTTGTGACCCAAGACAAACAAGGGAAACCCAAAGTTCATGGGGTCCTAGGCGTTCATGTAGACGATGGGATCGGGGGTGGCGATGCGTACTTTTCCAGGGTGATTCAGCAGCTTAGGGACATCTATAGTTTTGGGTCGTACGAGGAAGGGGATTTCACTTTCACGGGCATTAGGTTCCGGCAGTGGGATGACTGTAGTGTTGAGATGGATCAGATCCAGTACATCGAAAAGATACAGCCGATCCATGTCAGCCGGAATCGCAGAGCCGAACCGAACGCTCCACTGTGTCCGGAGGAGATCAAAGAACTTCGCCGGTTGAACGGGTCGTTACAGTACGCGGCGGTACACACTAGACCTGATATAGCAGCCAAGGTTGGAATGCTTCAGTCTGCCATTGTCAGGGGCGAAGTTAGGCATCTTCTGGAGGCCAACCGCGTATTGTTTGAAGCCAAGACTCGTCCAGTGTCTCTAATGTCGGTCCCGATTCCTGAAAGTCACCTCACATTTTGTGCCTTCTCAGATGCTTCGTTCGCTACCACAAAAGACAATCACTCTTATCAGGGGACCCTCATAGTTGCTACGGATCATCGAATGTTGGCAAATGAGACAGCAGTCATTGTGCCCATGGCCTGGACAAGCAAGAAGATAGCGCGGGTTGTTCGTAGTACTCTCAGTGCTGAAGTTGTAGCCCTAAGTGGTTCTGTTGATAGGATGTCCTGGCTACGGCTCTTTTGGGAGTGGTTTAAGAGTCCCGACATCGACTTGACTCGGCCAGATTTGATTCTGCGTAGGTCTCCCCAGGCATCTCTGGTGACGGACTGCAAGAGCGCGTATGACATTTCTACTCGCACTGCAGTTCCCAACTGCGTGGAACTGCGTACTCAGTTAGAGTGTCTGCTGTTGAGAGAACGTCTCCAAGAGAATTGCCAGATGAGATGGGTGAATTCACGAGCAATGCTGGCGGACTGTCTGACCAAGACTATGGATAGTACAAGTCTCCGGAAGAGTTTGTCAGAGGGAACTTATGCTCTAGTCGACGAGGCAGAGAACCTTAGGAGTAGAGCTGGGAAGAGACAGTCGCTATCATGGCTTAAGATGAAGTCACCACAGATTTCTGAACACAAGTGACAAAACTTTCAAAGACAAAATTTGACGAGTGTTAATCCGCTAGATGTGCCGAGGCAACCTGTCACTTGTGCTCGCCGACCCTTTTTGTGCAGCTCGGGGGAGGGCGGGACGAGGAAGAGAGCTTGGGAGCCAAAGGCAGGAGAGCAGGGCTCTTTAGGGTCATAGTAGGAACAGGGTTCCTTCATTCTTAGGGTCTCTTAAGGTTACTAGGGACGGCCAGGGCTACCATATTCACACCCTGAACCCTAAACCCTAAACCCAAAACCCACAAACGAAACTGAGAGCCCATGCTGTCCCACGGAGGCCGTGAAGGAGGAGAACGGCTTCCTGACCGCCTCGTGCGAGGCGAGTAGTTGGAGCTCAAGAGGGTTTAGGGTTTGGGGTTTAGGGTAGGGTTTAGGGTTTAGGGTTTAGGGTGGAGGGTTTTAGGGTCTAGGGTGTAGGGTTTTTAGGGTTTTGGGGGTTTAGGGTTTAGGGTTTAGGGGGGAGGGTTTCGGGTTTAGGCGTTTAGGCCTGGGTTCGAGGGTTTGGGGTTTAAGGGCTTATCGGGGGATTCATGGATGAGGGTTCACGAGCTTCAGGGGGTTTAAGCGGCTTTCCCCAAAACCCTAAACCAAACATAAAAACCCTAAGCCTCAAACCCTAAACCCTAAACCCTGACCCTAGACCAGAAACCAGAACGGGCTTCCATGGTAGAGACTTTTGAGATCTGGCCAAGGTTGAAGGGACTAAAGGAGGGACCCTTCGAAGGGACCTTAGGGGTTTAGGGTTGAGGGTTTAAGGTTAGGGGCTGCTTAGGTTGTCAGGGTTGAGGGTTTAGGGTGTAGGGTTTAGGGACTAAGGTATATACAGGGGTTATATAGGAGAACAAGATTATGGGTTTCTTCCAGGGGTCCCTCCTAAATACCCTGAAAAAGGTTTAGGGTTTAGGGTTTTCTGCGCTTGGGGCCGTTCTCTCTAGCACGGTTTGGGGTGGCTGGCTCGCCTTCAAAACCCTCCTGAAACTGAGCAATCACAAAACCCTACTCTCTAAATCCGAAACCCTAAGCCTAAACCAAAAAGCCCTAGAGCCCTAAACCCCCGAAACCCTCAACCGGCCAAATCCCTATACCTCTACAACCCCTAAACGCCCCCCCAAAAATCCAAAAATCCCTATAAAACCCTGAACCCTAAACCCCTAACACGCAGAAGGATGGCGATGCTGCGCCGATCTACGACCTGGATGCCCACAACGACGCCGGGGGGCCTTCGAAGATGCTTTGGGGGGTTTGGGGGTGGGGGGGGGGGGGGGGGGGGGGGGTTTAGGGTTTAGGGTTTAGGGTTTAGGGTTTAGGGTTTAGGGTTTAGGGTTTAGGGTTTAGGGTTTCGGGTTTCGGGTTTCGGGTTTCGGGTTTAGGGTTTAGGTTTTAGGTTTTAGGGTTTAGGGTGTTAGGGCGTTAGGGCGTTAGGGTCTGAGAAAGTCCAAGATAAAGCTTGACGTGGAGGCCTATTTAACTACACAGGGTGTTCTGCGTCGTTTGCGGCATTGCTGGAATTCTCCTTTCGGGGGCTCAGTCATGTAAGAGGAAGAATCAGCAAAGAAGGTTATCAATTCCTGGGCGATAGAAGGGGTCGATGGTTGCCGGAAGGCTTCCGGTTTCAGGCTGCAGGAACCGCTGAAGCCGCATTATCTTCGTGGTCAAAACCGCCGTAGGGTTTGGAGTTTAGAGTTTGGAGTTTAGGGTTTGGAGTTTAGGGTGTTAGGGTGTTAGGGTGTTAGGGTGTTAGGGTTTAGGGTGTTAGGGTGTTAGGGTGTTAGGGTACGCTTGAGGCACGTGCGACCAAGTCATGAGCAGCAAAGGCCCTGAGAAGCGCTCCAACGCCTTCGACAGCTCCCTGCTACAATCTGCAACCTCCCCAACAACGCCTAAACCCCAGACCCTAAGCCCTAAATCCCTAAACCCTCAGCCTTAGGCCCTTCGGACAGTTTATACTTTCCCTTGTTGGGTTTAAGAGGCTCCTATGAAGGAACTTATTCAGAGGGTTTTCAGGGACCGTCCTAGCCCGTGAACCCTCAACGCCTCGCCTCAACCCTGAGACCCATAAACCCTTAATACCCATAAACCCTTAATACCCTTAAACCCTTAAGCCCCTCAAACCCTTCAACCCTTAAACCCTTAAACCCCTAACCCCTCAAACCCTTAAACCCCTGAACCCTTAAACCCTTAATACCCCTTAAACCCTTAAACCCCTTAAACCCTTAAGCCCCTCAACCCTTAAACCCGTAAACCCCCTAAACCCGAAGCCCTAGAGGCCCTAGCCCTAAACCCCTAAACCCCTGAAACCCTATCAACCCCTCGACCCCGAAACCCCGAAACCCTAAAAGCCCTTCAACCCTTAAACCCCTAAACCCTTAAACCCCTAAACCCTTGAAACCCTGAAGCCCTTAAAGCCTTAAACCCCTAAACCCTTCAACCCTGAAACCCTTAAGCCCCTAACCCCTCAAACCCTTCAACCCCTAAACCCTTAAACCCTTGAAACCCTGAAACCCTGAAACCCTTAAACCCAGCTCACCTTCACCTACGACGTGGTCTGGACGGACAGCGACATCCGCTGGGCATCCAGGCTCTGGACATCCCCGCCCATACGCAATTCGAGGGTTTAGGGTTTTCAGGGTTTTTAAGGTTTTTAGGGTTTTTAGGGTTTTTAGGGTGTTTAGGCTTTGGGGCTTTTAGGGTTTTTTTTTGGGGTTCTTAGGGTTCAGGATGTGTAGAATTTTCCAGCATGTCTAGGATGGGATGTTTAGGATGTTTAGGGTTTAGGGCTGCACTTTAGAATCTTTCGAAACCCTAAACCCTAAACCCTAAACCCTAAACCCTAAACCCTAAACCCTAAACCCTAAACCCTAAACCCTAAACCGCGGGAAGAACCCGGTCCCTACACACTAAGCCCCAGACCTTTAGCTGTTCCTTGGCTCTTGGAGAAGTAAGTTCTAGGGACCTAAACCCTAAACACCCTAAGCCCCTAGCACCCTAAAACCCTAACACCCTAAAACCCTAAAACCCTAAACCCTAAGCCCTAAAACCCTAAGCCCAAAACCCTAAACCCTAAGCCCAAAACCCTGAAACCCCCCATTCTAGGGTGCTTAGGGCTTATGGTGTTTTAGGGTTCTAGGGTTTAGGGTTTAGGAGTTAAGGGTTTAGGGTTTAGGGGTTTGGGAGTTAGGGTTTAGGGTTTAGGGTTTAGGGTTCAGGGAAAACCCTGAAACCCCCATTCAAGGGTTCCCGGGTTTTTAGGGCCCCTCCTTGTAGGGCCAGGGCAGGTTTAGTGTTCAGGGTTCTAGGTTTTGTGTTTAGGGTTTTAGGGTTTTAGGGTGTAGGGTGTTAGGGTTTAGGGTCGGGTTTTAGGGTTTCAGGGGTTTAGGGTGTTAGGGTGTTAGGGTTTGGGGGTTTTAGGCTTGCAGGTTGTTAGGGTGTTTGGGTTCAGGGTGTTAGCGCTTTAGGGTTTAGGGTGTTCGGGTTTAGGCGAATGATCTTTCCCAAAAGCTTCATGCCTGAACCGCGTGTCTAGGGATGCAGTTCGAGTGTTCAGGGTGTTGGGGTGGAGGGTGGGCAGCCGGCCAGTTGTTGTTGCTTGCTGTGTTTTCTGTCATGGTCCACAAGTTACGCAGCGCAGCACCGACGACAGCAGTGACACGGCGCCTGAGCCTGGTGCCTCCTCTGCCCAGGACACGAGCACAGCTTTGCCTTAGCCCAGGTTCGAGCACCTGTGCCTAAGCCACCGCCGCCCCAACACTTGCTCAGCAACGCGGCCCGTGGCTTGGCCTGGGCCCGGGGATGTACTTCCCCAGTGCAACCCGACCTTCACCATGGAGTCGTCAATTGGAAAGCTGGCGCATTGGGCCCGACAGGGATACCTGATGCGCCGTGCCTGCACGCGCCTTCTGCACACGCTATCAGAATGCCATGTGCCGAAGACCGTGCGCCCTGCACATGTCACCTATTCAGCGCAGGTATTAAGATGACCCCAAACCCTTCTACCCCATACCCTAGAAGCCCTAACCATGATAATCGCAGCATAAACAAAGCACAAACTGCCCAGGATATCCATTCCAACTTCATCAGCCCCTAGACGGTCAAGGTTTAAGATTAGGATTCCGGCTTTGGGCTTAGGGTTTAGGGTTAGGGTCTAAGGTTTACAGTTGTGGAGCTCAAGACAGCCCAGGAAGCGTGTTAAACCTGAAGTCACCAGGTGCTGAGTCGCCCAACCTCCCCCCCCCCCCTCCCCGGCCAAACAAAAGCATACAAAACTATCAAACCGCAACCCCTTGAAACCTACACCTTAAACCCCAAACCCTTAAACCCTTAAACCCTTAAACCCTTAAACCCTTAAACCCTTAAACCCTTAAGCCCTTAAGCCCTTAAACCCTTAACCCCTTAAACCCTTAAACCCTTAAACCCTTAAACCCTTAAACCCTAAACCCAACCCCCTCCTTCCAACAAACACAACAGAAGAGAAAAACAGCCTAAGCCCTAAACCCGAAGAGCTCCTTGGCTTTAGCCTTTTGCCACCAGATTTCTAAGTCCAATTACTTAATTGGGGTCAGGTCTCACACCTACTCGCTGGGTACTTCGCTTTGCGTAGGGCGCGCTTCAGCCTCTTTGGGTGTATTGGATTCCCTATATCGGTTCACCTTTAGCTCCCCTAAACCCTCAACCCTAAACCCTAAACCCCAAGCACCGCACCGTTCAGGTTTGACAACTACCTGAAGATGACTGGAGGCACGGCCGGTGTTGAGAGTAAGGAGAAGGACAGAAGGGTCGAGAGTGTGCTAGGGTTTAGGGTTTATAGGGTCGAGGAGTTAGGGCTCAGGGTCTAGGATTTAGGGTTCAGGGTTAAGGGTTCAGTTTCTTGGGGTTTAGGGTGGATGGCCGTCCAAACAGCTTCAGATGGCATAGCAGGGTCTGGAATGGTCCAGGCTCTAAACTAGGTCATGCGCCAGCCCCATTCAGACCCCGACT